TAATTATTCACGGTATTTAGAAGTGCCCACGATAACAATATCGTGCATATTCATTACCGTGATATATCGCATTACCGAATACCGGCACAAGTCTATCATAGACTGTATAAAAACAATGGACGTAGTGTCCGTGACGTCACCCGTAGATTTCCGAAGAGCGTTTTTGAAGCTCAAAAGTGGGCGGAGGCGGCCGTCGCCATCTTGGCAGCGCGTCACCGCGCGTCACTCCCGGATATTCGAAAATGGGCAAAGAGGCGGAAGCAGGTTGTTGAAGCCACGCCCACCTAGCTCGACGGTGGTGACAGCAGCGGCAATCCACCTGTCACTCAAGTGGCCACGCCCAGAACTTTAAGGCTTAATATAATTTAAACGGATGAGTTATAAAAAAATTCACTCCCCTCACAGTTGTCATGAAGGGCAAAATTAGCTATATAGACCAAAATCATTTTTTGAACCAGGCTGTAAACATGTTTTTTTCTGCTGTAAAGTTGGGCATTTTAACATGGGGAGTCTATAGGATTGACTCCCTTTTGCAGCCAGCCTCTAGCGGCCAGTTGATGAATTACAGTTTAAGTCACTTCCTTGTTGGCTTCACAAGAGAGAGGGGGAGGTTGCCGCTTGTGAAATATGTATGTGCACCCCTGATTATAAAGGTGTTTTTTAATCTATTATAATGTAATAATATGAAATCGTCCATTCATCAGCTGTCCAGCGTAACATGCAAATAATCATCAGCATCAATCAGAATATCAGTATCAGTGCAACCCCTAACAAACATTAAGCACAGAGGCAGAGATAGAAGAAGCCCAGTAGAGAAAGAAAAATGCACCTCTATTGTAGGTTACACGGCTTATAAGCAGTAATAAGCTCAGTAATCAGAGAGAGAACTGGCCCTCCAGCACTGTTACTCCCCAGCTCTCTCTCCCTCTCTCCTTTTCTTCCCAGCAGCACTGCCACCAGGCTGTGCAGTTGATCACTCTCTCCAAAGCAGGTCTAGACTGACAGCGACACGATCGGAGTTGAGGCAACGGCCAGATGCCGGCATGCTTCCCCGATGCTGCCTTGCTAATTACTTCCCGCAAACATTAACATTCCATCTTTTGGAAAGCCATGAAAGAAACGGGCTAATTCAGTTCCACCGATTCCCCAACATTAGCGCAATGCAAGTACAGTAATAAATCCATGTGTGTTTTGAGGCTGATGTAGGCAGTGATTGTAATGCCTCGCTTTGCTGACCTGCTTGAGAACCTCTGCTGATTCAGAGAGAGCTGAGCTCAGGAAACAAGACATCAGAGAGGGGGAAAGATAGGGAGGGAGGGGGAGAAGGAGAAAAAAGGCCAGGGGGTGATGATGGGAGAAGGTTGGGGGAGGGTAAGAAGTGCATAACACACAGAGAGAAGATGAGAGTAACAGAGCTAGCCGGAGAATATTGTGTGCTCAATCGAGAGTGAGAGTGCTCTTAATTCAGAAAGACAGCCAGAGCAGCATGCAGACAGGTTTTCAGGTCAGACTGCAACTGGAAGAGCCGTGCGCGATTGTGTGTGTGCGATTCCATGTGCGTGGATGATGAAAGGGTTGTGCTCACTGTAAGTGGCGTGTAGCAGAGCCTTGGGCTGCAACTGGGCATCACACTACTCTTCCATTAAATATTTATTACACACACACACACATACTGTGCATATTCCATCCCCTCCCTATTAGCTCTGCCTGTAATGTCTCACTATAGTGCGCGCTGACCCGTCTATGACTCTGAATATCTGTGATGCGGTTTATACTGATGTGGTTTTGCCTCTGATCTCCGTCATTCCGTAATCAAACATGCTCAGCGGCTCCACACGCGCTCTCTCTTCACGTTTAGCAAAGACGCTCTGCTGAATCGGTCACGAACAGTCGTTCGATATGCATCACCCTGGGGACTGGTATCATGGAGTGTGTGTTGATCGCGAAGGGTACGTAACTTTGTTACCGAAGGCTGTCAAAGTTTTATGTGTGATTTGGATTTTTCTTCTTCTTCTGGAAAAGTGCTACATGAAATGAAAACTGTTTACTTTAATGATACACATTGCTGATCATATTGTGAATGATTCATTGTGTACATTATTCAAATATTTCCACATGATTGTCTTCGTAAAAATAATATTTTATTATTTTATTTAAATTAAGCTCACCAAGGCTGCACTTGTCTGATCCCACCCCCCACCACCTAATTTATTGATTTGATGGCGAAGTAACATTTTTAGCAGCCATTACTCCCCCTATATTAATCTTGTGCAAAAACACAAAATAACTCTTAATTTTAACATTTACTCTCCATTAACAGTCTGAAGCACAGCATGCTGAGAAAATGAAATGTGCTGTAACACATTCAGTTTGAGTTATGCTTGATATAATCTATATTGATATAATTTTCTATTAAGTACAATGCTTTTTTCAGTATATTTGAGTAAAGTGAAATGGTTTCATTTGGTAAATTTATCTGTTAGGTTTACAGTGCAAAGTCTTGAACAGTAGTGTATACTGTATATCTTGTTAATATTAACCATTAGCCAAATAGCTGTTTAAGGGTCCAAGCATCAGGGATGCTAGAACCCTATTTATTCAGTTTCTTAGAATTCTTCACTTTTCTTCTTCCCTAAACATGTGAAAAAGTGACAACCAAGTACAGAAACCCCAAACCAAAATGCGGAATCAAAATGTTCCTTAATATTAGTCCAAATATGCATAAATTTAAAAATAAGTATCCACTGGAATACATTGAGATGTTTACTTGACCTTTAAGGCAGTCGCACACCGGATGAGAAGCACAGCGCAGCGTTGCATCGCGTCGCGCCACGTCTTTAAAATTCTAACACATTATTTTCTATGAGTGTACGCACACCGGCGCCGCCGTTCAGGCATCTGTCCGCGGCTCCCAGCTATGTCGTGTTGTACTTGTTGTAAGAATTGTTGTAGACACGGTGCTGTGCTTCTCAT